GCTGAATTTTTGCCATGCTTCTGATGTGTTTTCTGTTCCTTTTAGCCCCCTTTACACACACACTATCCTAAATTATGCCTTTAAGTTAAGCTACAAAAGTGTACTACTATTAGACTTGAATATCCATAACCACTAAGTATGATTCCACCAAGATCCTAAAATTATTGTTTCAGTCAAAGTTATTCATGATATCTACCGCCAATAGGGGAAGGCAAGACAAGACTTCACAGTCTATTCCACTTCTTCTGAATAAGGCAGCAACTAAAAACCACGGAGTTGCCAACCATCACTATATAGATACTTTGCAGACTTGGCCTAGTATTTGACAAACAATCTAGTATGGAAACCTTGTACTTTAAATTGATAAGGTCATTCTGGAAATCGTTACAGAATTTTTTCCAAAACAGAACTTAGAAAAAAATATAATTTTAGTAAATGAAAAAAATTGTGATATACAAGGGGATAAACGGACAAAGAATGAAAACACGTCAGAGGCATGGCAAAAAGGAGGTGTGAGTGCTCTGATTTGCTTTTATAACAGTAGGACTGCTTTGGGTGGTACTATGCACACATTTTCTGCTGGATCCCAGGAGATAAGGGTGTGCTCTTTGGCGATGAGTTTTTCATTGCAGGTGGGGAGTGGTGGCTCATGCCTGTAATCCCAGACTTTGGGAGGCAGATCATGAGGTCAGGAGTTTGAGACCATCCTGGCTAACACAGTGAAACCCTGTCTCTACTACAAATACAAAAGTTAGCTGGGTGTGGTGGCAGGCACCTGTAGTCCCAGCTACTCAGGAGGCTGAGGCAAGAGAATCACTTGAACCCGGAAGGCAGAGGTTGCAGTGAGCCAAGATCACGCCACTGCACTCCAGCCTGGGCGACACAGTGAGACTCCATCTCAAAAAAAAAAAAAAGGTTTTCATTAGATAAAATGTAACAACATCATAACTTCATTATTACCAGGCACTCCCAATTATTACATCTGCAAAATTAAAATAGTGCATTTGATGGGTGGCATGAGGATATCCTCCAGTCTCAAAGAGAAATGGTATAGTGATGTCAAGGCCTTGTTACATGTACTTACAGTACTCTTCAGTTCTTTTGAGAAGAAGCATATCTTGGCCCACCAGTACACTAGGAGAATCAGACCTTAGAGGTGGCTGCATTTTATTGTTGGGAGAAAGTACTTTTTAAATTCTGAGAAATGTTAGAGATTTCCCAAAACCGCACTAGAAGTGTGAAGCCTTGATTAGAAAGATAAAGGGATTTGGTTCCAGGTCATGCAGCAAATTAGTGGCAGGGTTAAGTTATGAACCTAGACTTAACTTCTTTCACCATAGGCATTTAGGGGCCTTCTTACTGCTAGAGTGGTAACACATTACCTCATAGTCACATAGCTTTTTTTTTTTTTTTTGGAGACGGAGTCTCACTCTGTTGCCCAGGCTGGAGTGCAGTTGATCGATCTCAGCTCACTGCAATCTCTGCCTTCTGGGTTCAAGCAATTCTCCTGCCTCAGGCTCTCCAGTAGCTGGGATTACAGGCACCCACCACCATGCCTGGCTAATTTTGTATTTTTAGTAGAGACAGGGTTTCAACATGTTGGCCAGAAAGATCTCAAACTCCTGACCTCAGGTGATCTGCCCGCCTCAGCCTCCCAAATTGCTGGGATTACAGGCATGAGCCACCACACCCAGCCTCATACAGCTCTAATGCCACGCATAAAGTTCTCATGTACAACGTCTCATTTTGGCCCCTCAGCAACCCTCCATGTGCAAGGGACTGTAAATTCTATTGTTCGCACTTTGCAGATAAGAAGACTGCAACTCGGCCGGGTGCGGTGGCTCAAGCCTGTAATCTCAGCACTTTGGGAGGCTGAGGCGGGTGGATCACGAGGTCAAGAGATCGAGACCATCCTGGTCAACATGGTGAAACCCCGTCTCTACTAAAAATACAAAAAATGAGCTGGGCATGGTGGCGAGTGCCTGTAATCCCAGCTACTCAGGAGGTTGAGGCAGGAGAATTGCCTGAACCCAGGAGGCGGAGGTTGTGGTGAGCCGAGATCCCGCCACTGCACTCCAGCCTGGGAAGCCTGGGTAACAAGAGCGAAACTCCATCTCAAAAAAAAAAAAAAGAAGAAGAAGAAGAAGAAGAAGAAGAAGAAGAAGAAAGAAGAAGAAGAAGACTGCAACTCAAGAAGACACACAGTAGTCTATAACGAAGTCAGGGTCAGGACTGGAACTCAGTTATCCTAATTCTCTCTCTGAGGCCCTTTCCACTATGCCATCTTCATGTCTGGTGCTTTCCATCCATGAACTCTGGAAAACAAGCTTGAGATACCAAAATTAAAAAGACAGCTCCTCAAAAATGGATAGTTACACTTCTATAAATACAAAAATGAAATACTCAAATCTCTTGCCCCCTCACCTGCTAGAAATGTAAATGTTAACCTGAGTTCTCTAGTTTTGCACAGATCCGCAGCAATTAATACTGTGACGGAAATACTTTTCTAAAAAAGAATCCTAATCAAGTTGAAACTAAAATTTTAAAACATGAAATGGAAGGAAAGAAACTGTTGTCCTCCCTTATTTTTGACCCACACTTAATCGATTTTCATGACAGTTTCTCGAGCCAGGGACACATGGCCAAAGAACATGTGAAATGCCAGGTGTTCCAAATAACACCACACGGGGTAGTGGAAGGAAAGCACTGCCTCCCCAGGGAGCAAATGGCCCGACTTCCAGACAGTTTTCTGCAGTCTCAAACCCGATGTTGCACTAAGAAACCACCTAATCTTCAGGTGGTTTCGTTTACTGAAAAATGAGGGGACTGGGTCAGGGCGCATATGTGAATTTAAGCGTAAGATTGTACTCACCTCTTGTGTATTTAAATTCTCAAATGTTCACTTAAATATATGCATAGACCATTGTCACTTCGTCGGAAGTCGCGTCCAGCCCAGTTGCGCGAGACTCTACCGGGCCTCCTGCCGCACCCGGGTATGGATCCGGGTCGGGGCGTGGAACCGAAGCCGTCAGTGGCCCCGCTAGCTAAAAAAGGGCAAGCGTCGGTGGCTCGAACCAGCGCCCGCGGAGCTTTCCAACAGTTCCTAATTCGGAGCGCTCCGCCGGCCCCACCACCTGTTCCCGGCAGCCAATAGGGCCGCGAGGGGCGGCCGGGGCGGAGCGCGGCTACAAAAGGCCACGGGCCCCGCGCGCCCGCCCACCCCGCTCCGTGCGCGCTCTAGGGAAGGCTCGGAGGGACACGGCTGAGGGCCAGGAACATTCCGCGCGTGGACCAGCCGGGCCGGGGCGATGCTGCGGGTGCGGTGTCTGCGCGGCGGGAGCCGCGGCGCGGAGGCGGTGCACTACATCGGGTCTCGGGTGCGTGCGCCACGGGCCTCATCTGGCCACCGCGTGACTCACCCTCGTTCGGCCCTGCGGTCGGCGTGGACCACCCGCTGGCTCCCCGGAGCCGCCGCCTTCCCTCGCTTTCCCCAGCCAGAATTGCACGAGAGTGTCCCTTCTGGTCTCCCTGGGAAGCTCAGCTTCTAAAGCCTTTGCAGGCTCCAGGAGCTGGGCGGTGTCACCCGGGCAGGGGGAGCTTGCGTTGCGGCCCCACCCCTTGGGGTCCACTTGCTATATGCGCGTCTGCGGCCTGCTGGCCCAAGGCGCAGGGGACGCCGCCCTCCTCTACCGGACCTCTGTGCGCTTCACCAAGCTCCCCACTGGGAGCGAGGGGCTGGGACAACCGGGACTCCTCTTAGTAAAAGGGTGGCGTTATTAGGTTTCAATACCCTGGGTGGGCGTCAAGCTGGGGAGATTTCTGAAAAAAATGCGTGTGGGATGGATGGATGGGGAGAAGAAGCAAGCAAAGTGGGAATCGGGGACGGGGAGCGAGCGACCAGATTCACTCTAAGTGTAGCATGAGTTCCCGCGTCTGGAGAGGAGTCGGGGCGAGTGCAGCCTGTAAGCAGTTTCTACGCGCCCCGCCCTCGGCTGCCTAGGATGCAGACCCTACCCTGCTCCTAGGACTGGAATCGCCCCGACATTCTGGCTTTCCCTCAGCAACTGGTTCCTGAACAGCTGTGACTCTACGTCTTGCTTCTGCCTCCACCCGAGTTACCCTCCTGCCCACTTCCTAAGGCTTTTAACAGAGCAGGACAGAGATTTGGGGGTTGAGGTTTGCTCAGGGGTTGAGGGATCCTCCCTGCTCTAGATTTTATAGGCCGTGCTTTTTAAAAAAGGCTTTTGAGGTTTCTAGATCTCCTTTTTAGTTGTTTGAATTTGTGCCTGGGTTAATCCTGATCTTGGCTAGGGTACTGTGGACCATCTGTAAAATGAGCAGATGGCAGTGGCTCACTCTCAGAACTGAAGCGCCAAAGAATGCAAAGTGTATGTCAAAGATGAAGAAATTTTGACTTGAAGCTAGTTATTCGGAAAGATAAGGTCCTTTACAAATGCTCCCACCTTTTCATTTATAAATAATAAAATAAAATAAAAAGCCTAATATTGGTAACCTTTGATACTGAAGGGGGAAGGAGGTTCTGTCCCCAGCTGGGACTGGCAGGAAGTTACACAGCAGTTGTTTATGGTTTTCTGAGGAGGACTGACCCATCATCTGCAAAAGAGCTGCTTTAAAGCTTGAGTGCAGGAATGCATTCTGAGATAAACACAGGGTTGTATGGTCGCTGGGGACAAAGTATTCTTAGGAGTTTTAAAGAGTTACAACACTTAATAGATAAGAAGACAATTTGTAGATAAACAAGAGTGTTAAAATATTACCTGTAATCCCACTACCCACCTACTCACTATTAACATCTTGGTTTACGCTATTCTAAAGGCGTTTAAGTGGCAATGCTATGCTGGGTTTTTACCCCATCTCCACTTCCTCCTCCCCTCAAGTACTGTATAGAGCAACGCAATACAATAATCTTTTCTTTGTTCTTGGAAGCTTGGACGAAACTTCACAGGATGGGTGCAGCGAACTTTCCAGAGCACCCAGGCAGCTACGGCTTCCTCCCGGAACTCCTGTGCAGCTGACGACAAGGCTACTGAGCCTCTGCCCAAGGACTGCCCTGTCTCTTCTTACAACGAATGGGACCCCTTGGAGGAAGTGATAGTGGGCAGAGCAGAAAACGCCTGTGTTCCACCATTTACCGTGGAGGTGAAGGTAAGACAAGGCTTATTCACATGTCTGAAAGTTTGTTCCCTCCTCACCTGCTGCTGTTACCCCTCTGACTGCTTTCCCTTCTGCTTACTCCCCAGACCTCTCAGTCCAGTGGTTAATTATCTTACCTGACACCTTTGTGGTATTCGATACCATTTACATCAACCATAATTGCTTCCTTCCTGTAGCTCTTCCCTTGGATTCTGAGAGCTTTTCTGGGAATAATAGTTATTTTACTGTCCTCAGATCTTCTTCCTTCATGGCCTGTAATGCCGAGGTTGAACAGAATTTCATTTTCAACCCCCTTCTCTTAGCCGTTCTCACAGCTACCCCTCCCACCTCCACTCTGGTCCGGATCTCTGTATTGAACTCCGTCCAGATCAACGTGTTAAATTCCTTACGGGATGTTGCCACAGGACTTCAAACTTGGCACATCTGGAGTTCAGTTGCCAGCCACCCTCTTCATTCCTTCCTTTTAATTATTGGCATCCCTTTTTAACAACCTAAAACACAAAAGAATCATCTTTGATTTCTCCTTATGTCACATCTTCCACATCTGTTCTCCAAGGTTTAACAAGGCTTTTGTCAAAATGGATCTTGCCTCATTCCTCTGCCTTGCCTTTCCCTAAGGGTCAGGAGCTCATCTGCTGCCTGGAGTATTGCAGTTAACTCCTAATTGGTCACCGCTACTCACTGTTCTCACCAAACCACCTTCCAGCTGCAATCTAAGTGATTTTTAAAAACTCAAATGTGATGTTACTAGACTTCTTCTTTTCCTCTTCTACTTTGCTGCCCACTGCCCCCTCCCCACTTTGCTTAGGATAAAGTCCTCATAGTATTCAAGATCCTTCACAATCTGGCTCTTGTCTGCATTTCCAGGATTCTCCATTCCAGTTATTGACTTATTTTAGAGATGTGTTAGTACAGCAGATCAGCAGGTGTTCATTTCTGGTCAAATCCCCCTCTCCCCTAATGTCCTATCCTGGTTTTCAGCAGACTTTTAAGACAACCATATAAGGCAGCTAAACTAGACAACTCACTGCTTCCTCACAAGCCCTGCATCTTTGCCCCTACCTAAGTCTTTTCCACCCATCTTCCCGTGCCCTTTAGTTTGTAGTTTATACCTCAACACCTAGCTTCAATGACACCTTCCAGGGATTTCCCTGGCAACAAGTAATATCTCCCTTTTTAAAAACTCCTATTGGTTTTTACGTGTAATATTCTTATGTCCAGGGCCTCTATGGGCTGGTGTTCAGGTTCTATACTGCATAAGGGTCCCATATCTAAGGGAGCACATCCACACTGTAGACACAGACTTCTATTAATAATGTGTTACAAATATATCTTTAATGTCCTTAAATTCTTCCTGAATATTTACACTTTACCTTGTAAAGTGGATTGAGGAAAGTAGTTCTGTAACAGTATTGTCATGGTCCTCAGAAATATTGCCTACCATGTACCAGGACCTGGAGGTATTAACATAAAAGATCTTCCTTTCTATTTGAAGAGATATGATGTTCACATAGAAATGAAGACCAAGTATCTTATTCCAGTTGACTAGCAAGGCAGTTGAAGTGTCTGGAAAGCTAAGGAAAGAGGAATGACCCAAGTGCTGGCCAGTTACGAAGTCTTTTTGAAGGAAAGGACTCCTGAGTTAGACCGAGAAGACAGGGAAATAGAAAAAGTAATAACTTCTAATTGTTCGGAAACTTCCTTTGGTTCTGATATTTGGAATTTGATGAGAAGATTAATTTATATGACATCCACATGTTTTTAAAAGGCATAGTCTTTTTTTTTCTTTTTTTCTTTTCTTTTTTTTTTTTTTTTTTTTGAGACAGAGTTTTGCTCTTGTTACCCAGGCTGGAGTGCAATGGCGCGATCTCGGCTCACCGCAACCTCCATCTCCTGGGTTCAGGCAATTCTCCTGCCTCAGCCTCCTGAGTAGCTGGGATTACAGGCACGTGCCACCATGCCCAGCTACTTTTTTGTATTTTTAGTAGAGACGGGGTTTCACTATGTTGACCAGGATGGTCTCCATCTCTTGACCTCGTGATCCACCCGCCTTGGCCTCCCAAAGTGCTGGGATTACAGACTTGAGCCACCGCGCCCGGCGGCATAGTCTTTTAAATCTCTCCTTGAAAAGTCCCATCCCCTAACCATTATAAGTGGGTGAAATTAAAGTTTAAATCCAGGCAATAATTTATTATTCTCCTTGTCTTTAAAGATAGACTTTCATATTGTGATTTTATGGAATCAGAATTCTCAGACATAATTTTGAGTTGTCATTTGATTTATGACTTTAGACTTTGTCATTTCATGGGCTTGTGGAAAGTGTACCATGCTGAAGTCAGGGGTCTGGTATTAATTAGGTATTTGATAAAAGCTTGATAGCTAGTCTTGGTTAATCAGCTATTTGACCTTGTACAAGATTCCACAAATTTCTGGGCCAGAGTAAAATGAAGATATTAAGAGGTTTACTATCGACCGAACAGGATTAAGGATTAATCTAAAGGTAAAAGGTTACATGTTAAGTATTTTAAAGGTTAAAATTACAACTTATTATAGTTATATGGATCTAGTTTGCCAGTTACATTCCAAAGGTACTTTGGGGTTGTAATAGTTGTAGATATCAGTAACATTAGCAGTGTTGATTTCATTTATTTGTCTGGTTCTTTTTGTTTGTTTGTTTTTTACTCTGTCTCTCTTTTACTCTCAGGAAATAATAGTTAATTCTGTTTCATGCCATGTGCTAAGCCTGGTTTTGAGGGAGAAAAAAGTAAATCTAAGACGTGCATGGCTCCTAGCAGGCAAGGCCATGCCTCATAGTAGAGAAGAATGACACATATATTCATCAGTTTGGGAACAATAAAAGAAAAAATAATGTAGCAAACTGTCTATAGGCAATCAGAGCAGAAGATGTTGGAAGATATAAGTGCTAGAGAAATTTTCAGGAAAGGTATGTGGAACGTAATTGTTAGGAAGCATTTTTTAAAGCTCTGTGACTTTATTCTGCAAAATATAGTAAATATTTGCTATCAAATTCCTTTTTTGTTTTGCTTTTGTCTTTTTTTTTTTTTCCAAAGAGATGGGGTTTCTCCATGTTGGCCAGGCTGGTCTCGAACTCCTGACCTCAGGTGATCTGCCCACCTCGGCCTCCCAAAGTGCTGGGATTACAGGCGTGAGCCACCGCGCCCGGCCTGCTTCTGTCTTTTTAAAAATAAAACCCTTGATAAAGGACCTTTTATAAAATACAAGATTAATCAAGATTAGTGTAATATAAGCTTATACATACATTAAATACATTTCTATTGTTATTTTTTTAGCCTTCCAAAGACAGTATTTAAAAATTCACTTGGCAAACCTCTGTAAAGGATTTTAGGCTTTGAAAGACTATAGAGGTTCAAGGAATACAGACATATATTTGCAACAGATTATTAAAAACATCATATGCTGAGCATCTAATATAGTGTTAGTTATCTTGCAGACAACTTGGTAAATGATTGTTAGCTCATTTAGCAGGGTTATAAAAGAAGTGTAAACCCATTTCTAGATATTTCTTATAAAATGTATTGTGCCCTGATCATTTGGACTTTGTCCAAAATCTTTGTCAGATTATAAACTACAAGAAAAATTCACATTTGTTCAAATAACTTTTTTCTCCCAGGAAAGTTTAATTTATCAAGGCAAGCTTCACTCTGTACAAATAGTCACGGAGGGAGGATACTTTGGAATGAGTCTGGCAAGACAGCATAACTCTGCATCTCCTGTAACCCAGTGTTAAATTTTCAAAGGCTTCTTGTCCCTAGTGGATTGTAGGAGATGTGCCTGGCATGAGAAAGAGGAAGTGGTGAATGGATAAGTAGTACCAGCATGTGTCTGAGAGGAATATAAAGAGTCATTATTATCCTCTTTCTGGTTGCTGTTGCAGAAATTCATAGGAGTAGAAAACAGTGGAGTGCTTTTATTTTGTTTTTTTGAAAGGGCAGCTTGGTCTTTAAAAATGTTTAATGCTGATAACATTTTTCATAGGCCAGAAATTCAGTCTGCTGTTTGCCTACAGATCTTTAAAAGTAAAAGAACTAATTAAGGCAGGGTGCAGTGGTTTATGCCTGTAATCCCAACACTTCAGGAGGCCCAGGTGGGCAGATCACGAGATCAAAAGATCAAAACCAGCCTGGCCAACATGGTGAAACCCTGTCTCTACTAAAACTACAAAAATTAGCTGGGCGTGGTGGCATGCGCCTGTAGTCCCAGCTACTCAGGAGGCTGAGGCCGAATTGCTTGAACCCAGGAGCTGGAACTTGCAGTGAAATCATGCCACTACACTCCAGACTGACAACAGAGCGAGACTCCATCTCAAAAAATATATATATATGGGGGATAGGGAAGGGATAGCAGTGGGTGGGGGGATAGGGGAGGGATAGCATTAGGAGAATTACCTAATGTAGATGATGGGGTGATGGATGCAGCAAACCACCACAGCACATGTATACCTATGTAACAAACCTGCACATTATGCACAGGGACCCCAGAACTTAAAGTATTAAAAAAAAAGAATTTAAAAAAAAAAGAACTAATTAACGATTCAGACCCCAGGGGTCAGCAAACTTTGTCTATCAGATAAGTAATTTAGGCTTTGCGGACTATCGGTCTTTGTTGCAACTACTCAACTCTCAACTGTGCCACTGTAGTGCAAAAGTAGCCAGATAGACAATATGTAAACAGATGAGTGTGCCTGTGTTCCCATAAAACTTTATTTACAAAAATGGGCAGTAGGCCAAATTTGGCCCATGGACCTTTGTTTACCAACTTCTATTTAAGAGTTTCACTGGCATCATTCAGTTTTTCTAAAGACATGTTTCTTGGCTTATTTCCTATTTACCAAGCTGGGTTCCAGTGTAACCGATGTGAACCTGGATATTGAACTAACAAGAGACAAGTCTACTTTCATATATTTCATATTTATCAGACTGAAATAAAAATGGAAGTAGAGACACAAAATCTAGAAAAGATACTGTCTTTGACATTAAAGAGCTAAATATCTAGATATTTGGTCAGTTTTGATGAGGAAAAGCCATTGGGACAATTTGAACCTGTTAAGCAATTCCATTCTTAAAAGTTTTTACATATCTAGTTAGAAGTGTTCAAACCAGCATAACATGGCCAAGTCCCATGGTGTATTAAGGACACTATTTGAGTAAGAATCAGAGCACTTGAGTTCTAGTCCTGCTTGTCCAGATAGTTAGCAAGCATGTGACCTCCTAGAGCCTCTTTCCTTACATGTGAAATAAGCACATGAGAACTTGCCCTGTTTCTTTGATGGGATAGTTGGGAGACCAAATAAGAATACCCAGCTAAAGTAGACACACTCTGACACACTTGAGCCGATAACCAAGTTTTACACCTTCTTTCTGGTACTTACTGCTTTCTGAAATTATGTGATTTTTAGTGGAGACTCTTATATCTGACATGATCAGGACTAATAGTTGGTCAGTTCATCAAT